TTATCCTCTGCAGCTGTTATTCCTAGTGTGCCATACCTTTTTTGTGGAATTTAATTTTGCAAATCCAATGAAAACGCGAAATTAGAGAAATTTATTTCCAGTGAAATATAACACCTATACAGTACTTTCCTTGAAAGGTTTAAAACTACAAGTGGTTCACTGCTGTTACATACATTATGCTATACATGTAGGGCCACTTATTGTTGTAGCTACATGTACATGTGTATATAGACTCAACTCCATTAATAATTGTACTGATATACTTTCCATTATATAGAGTTAGATCTGAAGAGGTACAAGTATATAGTTCAAGTAGTGATAGGAGAACAGAGAGGAGAAGGAGTCAAGTAATGACACAGTATTTAATTGTATTTATTTTATTTTATTAATTATTATTTATTATTAGGATTGGCTCAAGGTGTTTGTGGGACACTGATACTGACAACTACTCACAAGGATTATTCATTAACGTATGATTAATAATAATAATAATAATAATAATAATAATAATGATGATGATAATAATAATAATAATAATAATAATAATAATAATAATAATAATAATAATAATAATAATAATAATAATAATAATAATAATAATAATAATGATGATGATAATAATAATAATAATGATAGATTTGATGTACAGCTTAAGCTTCACAACATGTCGTCAGTACCATTTAGAGGGAAATGTCAGAGGGAATTAAATTTGGTGAATTTGGCATTTTGATAGCCATTCACCAAAATAAAAATCCACCATTTGAGCCATTTTACTCCCTCCAAAATTTCCCACTATACGGTATTATTGATTTGCTTTTACACAACTGAAAAGCTAAACTTGCAATAAAAAATTACTTTTGGATGGAGTGACATTTGTCCCTTTTAACCTGTTTTACAGTTTGAATTTTCTATAAAAAATTAATTTTTGCATTAATTACGATTTTAGTCATCAGTGAAGTTCATGGTAAAAGTGTTGAGTCTCCTTGTTCTTATATAAACTGTGTTCCTTTCATGTGGTGTGTTAATGATATTCATAGAGTACGACCCACGATACCCTGGTGACATTAACTCACTATAAAAATGCCATGATCTGTATTTTGTCAATCCAAGGGATGAAACTTTAAAATCCAAGATGGATGAAATATGAATATCCCTGAAGGATGAAACAAAAATTTTTGGATGGACATGCTATTATGCATGTCCTTCTTTTTATATTATCAATTTTATTACAATAATAAATATACATGTTAAGTGTAGTATAGTTGACAAAGCTGTTTCACTGTATAGCACTTTATTTTAGCAATTTTGCGGTAAAATTTGTAACTAGTTGATGTTAACTTGGTATGTGTGCATTACTGAGCATGCCCATTAGTGATTGACAGTTTCAATAACTGGACTGGGATTTATATTGCAAATTGCAATCACCAAAATAAGAACTCCACCTAATTAAAGTGTTATTATGACAATGAATGGAACCCTGTACTCTTACAATGTGAGTGTGTGGCCGGAGTGACAAATGCACTGATTAACTTATTATTATTGTTATTATCTAATTAATAATACATGTACTTGGAATGGATGCATAAAATTAATTAATCATACTCTCTCTCTCTCTTTATTCTCTTCTTGTAGGACTCCTTGTTTGCAGTGGGTGTGGCATACGCTGTTTATTATTATTGAAATAAACAAGAACGTTTTCACCTAATTATTATTATTATTATTAATAATAAATTAATATGTATGTATCATCTATTGTCACTAATACACAGTACAGTATACACCTAGTCATTGTTACTTTAGCTTTTGGAAGAGGTTCTTTGCAATCTAAAAATAGAACAATGACGATACTAAATATAGAACAAGAGAGAGCTTTAAAATAAATATAGCTTGAATATTAGGATATGTACATGTACATGTACGTATAGCAAAAACCCTCCCCCAAATAATTAAATAATCCCAGAACCCCTGCATCTAAAAATTCAACAAGAAGGAGGCCAATTACTGTATAGCGCAAAATTTCAAGGGCTATAAATTTCATAAGATTTCTTCCGCGAAAATCAAATTATTGCTGTACAAAATGGCAGACGGCATAAATTCACATAAATTAAATCCGCAAAATAGATTTTTAGGCAAATTTGCAAAATTCACAGCCTTCAAAAATTTTGCACTATAATAACTTATAGCCTCTCAGCACAGCCGATAACGAAAAAAATTGAAAAAATTGTACGACTATTTATCAAGCAAAGATGTCATTATATAAAACAGATGCTAACTTACACATTTATCTACACAAACGATGAAGTCAGAGAGTTCCTCTACACAAGTTTCTGTCGTATTTGACTTGCTGCTCACTCTGTCATTACATTCCTCTAGAACCTCCTTCAGTTTACGACAACTGGCCTTCTCTCCACACTTCTCCTCAAGGACTGACTTATAACAAACCGGATCCTCGTCCTCCTCCTATTAAAAATTAATAAATATACAGAGAGAAAGTATTGTCACCTGTTGTTGTATTTCTTCGTCATCCGCCATTTTGAAACTATAGTAACAGTATACGGAACATTACTCAGAATATACGGAGAATTTATGGTTGATTGCCACGCCTAGTTTTATGAGCCACGCCCACACAAAAATGAGTGTAGATTCTGTTCAGTTTCTTGTACAGAATCTCTTCGATCCTTGGACGGTGCGGCTAGTGGACTGGTTGTTCTATGCTGGTGTTGCAGTCGGTGTCACTAAAATAGCCCAAGGACTCTACTCCTTCATACCAGGAGTTTATACTTACTTCTATCCTAAACTCAGACCACTCTCACTAACTGATAAATATGGTAGATGGGCTGTGATTACAGGGGCTACCTCTTCATTGGGGACTGCATTTGCAAAGGAGGTATTTATTGGATTTTTTAATAATTTATTTTTTGTTCCTAGCTTGCAGCTTGTGGTTTTGATGTTGTGTTGATCAGCCGCTCTTATGATAACCTACTGGACATGGCATCAGAGATTCGTGAGTAGTACATAATACTCTAGTACAGTACAGTAATACTCTAGTACAGTACAGTAATACTCTAGTACAGTACAGTAATACTCTAGTACAGTACAGTAATGTCTAATTGTCTATGAAGCATCAAGAAATGTAATGAAAATGTAGGAATTCTTACCTTTTCATTTTTCGAAATAAATTGGCAAACTGCGACCCAATTTTGGAGCAAATTAAAAAATTCGTAAAAAATCCAAATTTGATTGTAATTAGCTTAAATTTTCTATAGATCGTAAGAACATTTGTTCTTACGATCTGTATATACATTGTATGTGCAGTATCACAAAATGTAATGAAATCTTGTCATTTTTGAAGAATTTTACTAAATACGTGTACCATGTACAGGGACTTCAACTTGATTTTACTAGATGCATGTAATTATACAGATCTATAACATATTGTACTAGCACTTACCTAAACTATACTTGTATGTATTATACTTAGTTCCATTGCATGTATAATCATCATATCTTTTCTTATTATCTTTAGAGTCTCAGTATTCAGTACAGGCTTATGGTATACATGCTGACTTCTTCCTGGGGCAGTCAGTTTATAATGAAATAGAGAAAGCATTACTGACAGATACACTAGACATTGGAGTATTAGGTAAGTTACTATTAGTATTGTCCTTTTTATTTTAGTTGCAGCCATTTCAAAATTCTGAAAGTTACCCAAGGCTATAGCTCATGGTTTTTTCCAAAAAATAGCTCCGAAATCACCCCAAATTTTTATTAGATTTTCTGATACATATTGATGTCCTTATGCTGTGTAGCAAGTTTGAGCCGATTCTGACTTCAATTTTTCAAGTTGCGACCATTTAAAAAAATGCCAAAATTCTGAAAAGTACCCAAGGCTAAACATAAAAAATTTAAAAAAACAAGATTGAGTAGGATTCCGAACGACCAACGAAAATACGAAATGAAAATCCTACTCTCGTGACGCAAATTCTACTCTACATTGTACTTTTAATGATATTATTTAAAAGTTATGGATCACCTTACAATG